CAGGATGGTCCCGTCAACCCCAGCCTAGATCTAGATTTCTCTGCACAAAGGCATATTTTACAGGTTCTATAAACGGCAAGCTGTTCATGGCCAGCCAGCCCCTCCCATTGCCAGGACCCAGAGGTCAGAACTGAACCCTCTCTCAAGGAGCTGAGACTGCAGGGCAAAAGCCTGATGAAAAACTTCTAAGCATTTCAGGGTTGAGCTGATGGGGAAGAGGATGTTAATCAGTCCAGGGTCCAAGACATGCACAAAAGTAGGAGTGGGATAAACCCCTGAAAGGATCCAAAAAAAGGGTCCTACCCTAACCTATATAGAAGTGGATTTTGAGCTCCAGGGACAAAGAATCGGAGCTCTGCTACAGCTCCTTTTTCTTGCTCCAAAAGTCTCATACCAGCACTCAGTGCAAGTCTTTGGGACCCAGTGTTGTGGGGTTTGCAGCAGTCAGAGGTAAGCCTTCCCTCAGCAGGGCAGTAATTAATATTCTTAATGAACAAGCCAGGTAAAAAACAGGGATTAAATCTTTTAGAAAATTAAATCCTTTGCAAAGGGAGCATTTGCTGGGGCGCTTGTCTGTTGTCTGCCTCACCAGTGCTCAGTATATCATGTTCAACATCCATCCTGCACCTGAGAATATCTGGTCCTGTAGAAAGGCCCTGCCTCAGGTTTCAAGGTAGTGGGAACTGTGCTTTTCTGGCTTTCAGCAGCTGTTCCAAGAAAGGGGCCTCTCCTTTTCCTTTCTCATGCAAAATGACTCCTGGGTTAAGGAGCAAGGTCCTGAATGGTAATGGGTTACTGCAACATGATGTGGGTGTTGGCCTCAGGGAGCTGGCAGGCAACAGCTGTGCCTTTTCACCACTTCAAAAGGGGAGGAGGAGCTGCTGTTTAGGAGTGTGCATTGGTAGTTACTGTCTAACTGTGATGTCTGCATGGTGGTGGAGCAGGACAGGTGAGTTGTGTCACCCTGATTTTAACCCTGAATGAACCTGGCTATAGTATGTAGGTTTTGCTACACTTGCAGACCTGCCAGTTGGATCAGATAATTATTAGATCTGCCTATACCCTAAAGGAGCAAAGCTCTGTAGGGCAGGGTGTGAGTGGCTCTCAGCAGTGTTATTAATTTGAATAAAATATCTTCCATTTCAATCATTATTAGATGCAGAGTTCCCCATAAATGCCATACAATCCAATGGAGGTCTCCCAATTTAAATCCAGATATTAAGCTAGTGGTTATTTAAAAAAAAAAATTCCCAGAAAATGTTCTGTACCCTTGATGTGACTTGTGATGGGAGCAACGCCTTCTAACTTGGTCCGTGTAAGAGGTCCATGATAGATGTGAATAGCAATCCATCATCCTAAACCAAGATCTTGTGCATCCATACTTAAAGGTGGATCACTGAGATTGGAAAAAATACTGAAGCCCTTAAAATCAAATCCAGCATAGTAATCCATTGATCATCAGTGATCATTACTATAGGCCTGTTAGTCTTACTTCAGTCCTGGGGAGGTTCTTTGGGAAAATTATCCAGGAGCACATCTGCGAGGGGCAAGCAGGGGAGTATATGCTTAGGGGTAACCAACACGGGTTCATTAGAGGCAGGTGCTGTCAGACCAACCTGGTGGCCTTCTACGACCAGGTCACAAAAGCCTTAGATGCAGGGGTAGCAGTGGACATAGTCTTTCTGGACTTTAGGAAGGCCTTCAACACTGTCTCTCACTCCATCCTCATTGAAAAATTAGGCGACTGTGGTGTCAATGCCTACACGGTCAGATGGGTCACTAATTGGCTGGAGGGTGGAGGACGGGTCTTTTTCGACCTGGAGGGATGTGGGCAGTGGGGTTCTGCAGGGCTCGGTCCTCGGGCCCGCACTGTTCAACATCTTCATCAGCAACTTGGACGAGGGGATATAAAGCACCTTGTTCAAGTTCGTGGATGACACTAAGATGTGGGGGGATGTGGGCCTGCTAGAAGGGAGGAATAGGCTACAATTAGATCTGGACCGGTTACAGGGGTCATCAGATGAGAACAGGATGGGATTCAACGCTGACAATTGCAAGGTGCTGCACCTGGGGAGGAGCAACCAGCAGCATACCTACAGGCTGGGGAACTCCCTTCTCGTCAGTGCAG